GCGCCAGCCTGAGCGGTGACCAGCCTCCTCGTCCTGCAGGTGCTGCACTCTGCCCCGTGCGCGTCGCCGCGGCCGGGAGGAGCAAGCTGAGCCCCGCCGGCCCCTGACCTTCGCCTGGCGGAGCGCTGGTTAATTTTTGCCCGGCCTGCGGACTTCGGGCCCTCCCTCCCGGGGATATAAGTCGGGCCCCGGCCGCCAGGGCCGCCTGGCCTGAGCCTTTCCGCGCCGCCCGCCACCCTCACCATGGGCAACGGCTTCTTCATTTCCAAGACCGTGGGCATCTTGGGCATCCTGCTGGGCGTGGCGGCCGTGAGCACCATCATCGCCCTGTCGGTGGTGTATGCCCAGGAGAAGAGCAGGAATGACGCGAACCCCCCGACCGTGAGCGCCACCACCACCACCACCACCACCACGACCCCCAAGACCAGCACCACCACCATCACCACGACCCCCAAGACCAGCACGACCACGACCACCACGACCCCCAAGACCACCACCAAGGGCCCGGTGACACCCACGAGCCCCTCGGCCACCACTGTGGACCAGGACCTGCCGTGGAACAGCTACCGCCTGCCCACGTGGCTGAGCCCCGATTCCTACAGTGTGACGCTGAGGCCGTACCTCACCCCCAACAGCGAAGGCCTGTACATCTTCGAGGGCAACAGCACCGTCCGCTTCACCTGCATGGAGCCCACCCCCTACATCATCATCCACAGCAAGAAGCTCAACTACACCACAGCCGGCAACCACATGGTGCTCCTGGAGGCAGTAGACGGCTCCCCGCCCCCCAAGATCAACAAGACAGAGCTGGTGGAGGCCACCGAGTACCTGGTGGTGCACCTCGAGGACCAGCTGGAGGTCAACAAGATGTACGAGATGCGCAGCTCCTTCAGGGGCGAGCTGGCCGACGACCTGGCGGGCTTCTACCGCAGCGAGTACATGGAAGACGGCGTCAAGAAGTAAGTGGGGCTCAAGGGGCAGCCTGGGGCCGGCGGGCGGGGCGGCACCCTGGGGGCCCGGGGCGTCGGTGCCAGGCCTCGGCCCTCCTGGGGCCTCCGCCCACCCGCAGCTGCGGACGGCTGCCACACAGGGCCGCCCTGCGCGCCCGAGGCAGGCCGCGGGCATGGGCGCCCCTTCACAGCGCGGACAAGCCCAGCGGAGAGCGGGCGCTCGCTCGGAGTCTGCTGCAGTGCGGGAGCGGCCCGAGCCCCGGGGACCCTGGCCGTCTGGGGTCCCTGGCCCCGTGGGCCCAGAGGCTGCCTGGGGGGTGCGGGCCAGCCAGGCCGGCCTAAGGCGCCCCCACTGCTCGCCCGCAACGCCCTCGCACCCCGGCCTGGCACGCTGCGGGCTCAGCTCTGGCACGCCCCTCGGCAGGGTGGTGGCCACGACTCAGATGCAGGCGGCCGATGCCCGGAAATCCTTCCCCTGCTTTGACGAGCCGGCCATGAAGGCTCGCTTCAACATCACCATCATCCATCCCAAGAACTACAAGGCCCTGTCCAACATGCCGCCCATCCACAGTGAGCGGGCTGCCCCGGGGCCGCGCGGCGGGCGGGGGGCCCAGCCGGGCCCGGCACAGCCTCACGTGCCCGGGTGCTGTGTCCAGACAGCACCCTGGAGGGGAACCCCGACTGGCAGGTCACGACGTTCAATACCACGCCCAAGATGTCCACCTACCTGCTGGCCTACATCGTCAGCGAGTTCGATCAAGTGGAAGCCATGTCTCCTGACGGCGTGCAGGTACGAAGCTCGCTGCTGCCGCTCCCGGCTGGCCCGGGCTTCGGGGCCCTGCGGATCTCACCTGCCCCAGCCCCGTGTGCTGGGAGTGACCGGGGCGTCTCTTCAGGGGGAGTGCCTGGCTCACCCCTGCTGTTCCCCCAAGCCTCCTCCCTGGGGCTCGACCCCTTGGGGCTCCAGCCCTCTCCTGCTGGTCAGGCCTCAGGTTAACCTGGGCAGAGCCCCCCCAGCTGGCCCCGAGGCCCCGTGGGCCCCTGACCCGCTCCGTCCTCCCTGCAGATCCGGATCTGGGCTCGGCCCAAGGCCATCAAGGACAGACACGGCGACTATGCCCTCAATGTCACAGGCCCCATCCTAAGCTTCTTCACCAAACATTACAATACCTCCTACCCACTCGAGAAGTCCGGTAAGTGAGGGTGCTGTGGCGGGCCCAAGCACGGGGCTCCCCACCAGGACCCCTGCCGACGGCCTGGCCTCCCCAGACCAGATCGGCCTGCCCGACTTCAACGCCGGCGCCATGGAGAACTGGGGGCTGGTCACCTACCGGGAGAACTCGCTGCTGTACGACCCCAAGTCCTCGTCCATCGGCAACAAGGAGCGGGTGGTCACCGTCATCAGCCACGAGCTGGCCCACCAGGTACCCCGCCGTCGGGGGGCCCCAGCCAGGGGAGGGCGCCTGGCCGGGCGCCAGGAGAGTGCGGTCGGCAGGGCGGGGTGCCGGCAAAGGGCAGTGGGGTTTGGGGACCACGAGGCGGAGGCGTGGCTGGTCACCCCCCGGGTTTGGGGACCACGAGGCGGAGGCGTGGCTGGTCACCCCCCGGGTTTGGGGACCACGAGGCGGAGGCGTGGCTGGTCACCCCCCGGGTTTGGGGACCACGAGGCGGAGGCGTGGCTGGTCACCCCCCGGGTTTGGGGACCACGAGGCGGAGGCGTGGCTGGCTCACCCCCCCCCGCAGTGGTTCGGGAACCTGGTCACGGTGGCCTGGTGGAACGACCTGTGGCTGAACGAGGGTTTCGCCTCCTACGTGGAGTACCTGGGCGCCGACTCCGCCGAGCCCGCCTGGAACCTGGTGAGCCGCTGGGGCCCGGCCGGCCGCGGGAGGGGGGCCCGGCGCCCCGGCCGGCCGCCTGACGGCCAGCGCGGCCTTTCAGAAAGACCTCATGGTGCTGAACGAGGTGTACCGCGTCATGGCCGTGGACGCCCTGGCCTCCTCGCACCCGCTGTCCAGCCCCGCCGACGAGGTCAACACGCCCGCCCAGATCAGCGAGCTGTTCGACTCCATCTCCTACAGCAAGGTGCAGCCCCGGCCTCTCGGGGGCCCTCGGACGGCGGGGGCGCGGGGGCTCGCGGGGGGCTCCCCCACCCCGCGGGGCGCAGGGGCCGGCCGTGCGGCCTCTGAGCGCCCTGCCCCCGCAGGGAGCCTCTGTGCTCAGGATGCTGTCCCACTTCCTGAACGAGACCGTGTTCCAGCAAGGCCTGGCGGTGAGTGCGCGGCCAGCCCGAGCGCCCCCACCCTGCCTCTCGCCCCCCACCCGGCCTGCCCCGGCACCGGGCCTCACCGTGCCGTCTCTCCACAGTCCTACCTCCAGACCTTTGCCTACAACAACACCAGGTACACGGACCTGTGGGACCACCTGCAGGAGGTTGGTAACGCCCCACCCCGGGGGTGCTCTGGGGGGGGCCCGAGGTGCCGTAAACCCTGCGGGCAGCCGTGTCGGGGTGCTCCCGGCCCAGGCAGGCCCAGCTGGCCCGGGCAGGGGATGTGGCTCTGTTGCCCGTCTGTGAATGGGGGCGAGGCCTCCGCCAAGGGGGTCAGGAGCACCCAGTGGAAGGAGGGCGCGGGGGCTCCCGGGGCCTTGGGGCCGCCCAGCCCGCGGCCCTGCTGCCGGGCACCTCGCTCCGCTCACCCGAGGGCGAGAACGCGGCCTCTGATCCCACCCGCAGAGTGCCAGCAGCCCCGCCCCCGGGCTGGCCTCCGATGCCCCCGCCGCCCCTCTGGGGCCGGCAGCCAGACCCCCCTGCCCGGGCCACCGCGGGGCTCCCTGGCCGTGTGCGTGTGGGGCGACCGGGCCTGTGGCCCGGGGGCTTCTCTGGTGACTGGGCCTTGCGGCCGGCACGTCCGCCTGCCGCCTCCGTCTCTGCTGTCCCCACCCACGCCGGGCTCCAGCTGCACCCTCGGGGGTGGCAGCCTCTTCTGTGCCCTCTGGCCCGTTCTCAGGGGTGTGAGTGTCTCAGTTAGGAACAGCCGGTGGCTCTTTGTTGTGACACAGTGACGCTCAGGTGCCAGAAAGGAGCCAAGGACCTCAGCAGACAGTGGCGGCCCGGTGCCCAGCCCTGTGTGGTGGGCTCGGTGCCCCGCGGGGCTCTGCCCGGCCCCCCCGCCCCGCCCCCCCAGCGCGGGGGAGGGCGGTAGACAAGGGAAAAAAAACCAAGCCAAGTCAGGAGGCCGCAACACAGCCGGGGAGCGGGAGCCGCAGCC